TTTGTCCTTACTCGGTTTACCGAAAAGGCGCGACATTATAACAAAATGCGACAGTCGGGACATCGTAAGAACCTATTTCAAAAAGGTGTTGTTGAAAGAGAGTAAAACGTTATTAAAGGTCTAAAAAATCATTCAAATAGACTTTTGGTATCCAAAAATGGGGTGCAAGAAAGGTTAGGATTTGACTCTTCCTCTTGTGAAAAGAATACGAACATTTGACCCTATGCACAACACATATTCAACCACCAAGAATAAAACCATCAAGTTAGTGCAACAAGTCTTTTAAGGGGGCGGGTACAAAAAATGGGGTTCTACAGTTGCCCGCTCCTTGACAGAACTTGGAGAGTCATAAAATGGACATGAGTGAATGTCAAGCCCGAGAGACGAATCCATTTTGGACACAGGCCGAAGAATTTGGACAAAACAAGCAAGATAATAAAGAGATGCGCTCGTAGGCAGGGGCAAAGATTTGGCAAAAATTGATTTATTGGCAACCCCAATGCCGGATTTTTTCTTTTCTTTCTTCCTAGTTTTTTATCTTTGTAAATATAAAAAGACAATATTGTGGAAATAAAAAGGTACCGTTAGAGTTTTAAAGAGTTAAAAATAAAAAATAAAAAAATGTGTGTTTTTAGGTTTTCTTATTCCATATATGGGTGCTGAATTTTTTTTTTAAATCCATAAATTATGAAATAGTGTTCATTATTTAAAATTTTATTTATTGATGGGCAAGTCAATTAAATTTTCTTAAAAAGTCCTTTTTCCTTATATAATATATATATATATAGATAGATAGATTTATCTATTTTACTAGATTATAATTCTTCCAAAAATTATATGATGCCACTACATGTTTTAAATACATTAATTTAGACATTAATTCGTGTAAAAAATGTATTTATGACGCGGGTAGGATATGATGGCTTGAAAGATGTGATTGCGTCGCAACAATGCTCAAGCGAAGATTTGTTTGGCTCATCTTTGAATCTTTCTTTAATCATTTTTTAATTTTCTATGGTCATTTTTAATTAACATTTATTTTTTAGTTGTTAGAACTGGGTTTGAATTCTGTCGAAACAAAAACAAAAATAAAAAATACAGTCAATTTTTCTTCTTCAATAGCATATGAACAAAACAACAAAATTCATTAATGAATAGGTAAGCCAACGGGTACTAAAATGCTGTAATGCTATAAAACCGAATGAATTACACATCAACAACTCACACCACACATTAGAGCAAAGAACAAGAACGGATTTTTGTTTATTTTTTTCTTTTTAAATGAAAAATCAATATGAAAAACTTGTTTGTTACATATATGTACATAAACAAACATCCAACCAAAAACTTTTATTAATATTTCACAAACAATCAATGCAGAGTCTACTGCATCCGATGCTAAGGATTTCATGTCTTTCTATTCCTCCATTTTGATGATGCATCGAATGCTTTCCCCTTTTAGCATGTATTCGAAGGCCTTGTTGATCTCTGAGAATGGGACTTGATGAGTGATGAACTTCTCCAGTTCAAGTTCCTGCAAAGTCAAAAATTTAGGCAAATAAGAGTTACACATTTTGAGCTTTCATTCGCACTATGGGCATAGAGATTTGCAAAGTGGGATTCAGAAACTCACTTTGTTCATGTATTTTTCAACAACAGAGGGAATGTCAGATCGGGGTTTGTAGTTTCCAAAGAAAGTGCCCTTAAGTGTCCTCTCATTTAGGAAATTCACAGGGTGTGTCTTGAACACAGCATCTTTGTGAGGGACTCCCACAAGAACAGCAACACCCCAGCCCTGCAATGGCAGGTTTTAGTCTATCAGCATTCGACATGACATATATACATTTATATGTTATAGTCTAGAGCACCACTTTGTTGTCAATGAGAACGAGGGAAAAATAAAAGTGATAATCAAAGTGGGGGAAAGTAGGGGAAACATACATCATGGACACATTCAAATGCCGAGATCATGGCCTCAGTGCTTCCAGTACATTCAACGCTTCTGTCCACTCCTCCATTGGTCATCTCAGAAATCACCTGAAGAGAAAGTCAGGAAGAAACTTGATGAAATACTTGAAAATGAAAGGGGAGATTTTACAACTACAAATGAGAAGTTTAGAACTGTACCTCTTGAACTGGTTTGTTGTAGTCTTTAGGGTTTACAAATTCTGTCACACCAAACTTCTTTGCTGTTTACCCAAGAGACGGGATGAGAGAGAAATGTTTAATATTAGAAATTAAAGTCCATTATATTTTAACTGCAATGTGAATCAAGTCTTTACTTTTTTAATTATATGATGCCTTTATTGATATTTACTATTATTATTCAAGAAATGCTCAATGATGACAGAGTGGAAGTTACATGTAGCCTATGTTGCAAGTTTCAACCAAGAATTTAGATGCAATTGGCCCATCAAAATCAGCAAATGCCTAGCGTCCTCCTGTTTGGTTGTGTTTTCATCATTTTTAGTATTTTCGAACAAAAACAATGAAAATTTCAAAAATACTTATTAGTTTTCATGTTATGATGTGACACTTATTATATTATTGAAGTGCATCTTTTCTCAAATTCTAAAATTCCATTATTACATGTCACATCAGTTAGTAACAAAAGTTTACAAATTTCGCTAGTTATAGTCGAACATTTATCCAAAAAAAAAAAAAAAAAAAACTGGTATTGAAAAATATTTCTCCAAACAGGAAATAGACACTCAACCAATTTAGAAAAGTTGTGGAAGAAACACATACTGGTGTAGGGATTTAAAGAATTTAGGCCATGTTTGTTTGGGTGGACATGAGCTTGGGATTGGACTAATAGTCCAATAAAATTATTAATCCGATATTTGGTTAAACAATTGAAGTACGGACTAATTATTTTAAACTTGACTTTTAGATAAGATAGGATACATAATCCAACGAATTCATAATCCAGGACTATTAATAATGGGAATGCTAATCCAGTCCATCTAAACAAACATGTCCTTAATGGAACAATGATGCAATGGACAAGGACAGATTATAATGCAAGTAAGAAATGGTGCAACAACACAAATACTGTAGTTAGTTTATGAAAGTAAAATTGTATCAAACACCACCGTAAATATAATGCTTGCTAGTCCCATTATGTGATCACCTACCTTGTTCATATCTGTTAGAATTCAAATCCACACCAATAATTCTTGAAGCACCAGACACTCTGGCCCCTTCTGCAGCCTAACCACACAAAATTACCATCAAATATAATATTGATCAGATACATTTGGCTAACAGGGACACTTAATCATATTTATAAGGCAATTAGAGGGGGGGAAAAAAAACTCACAGCCAGGCCTACAGCTCCCAATCCGAAGACAGCCACAGTTGAGCCCTTTTTTGGCTTGGCAACATTCACGGTGGCACCAAATCCTACCCAAAACAAAATCAATTTGTTTATTAGAACAATATGAATTGAATGGTCCGACAATGATCGACTCTGCAATCAGTTATTAGAATCAATAAGCCTTCAAATCATTCATCTGAATTTTTTTGAGAGCCTTCTTATTGGATGATCATGGTACTTTCCAAAACACAATCAATCCCTTGAAATCTTTTGATAGAAGCTTCTTGATATCTTCTTATTATAAAGCAAATTGATGGTATAAGGCAAACGCAAAAGGGATTGACATTAAAATTAGATTATCATTTTTTTTTTGGGTACCTGTGGAGATTCCACAACTAAGAACACAAACTTTGTCAAGAGGAGCGAGGGGGTTAATCTTGGCGAGACAACCAACGTGGACTACCGTGTACTCGCTGAAGGTGGATGTTCCAACAAAATGGAAAATTGGTTTGCCATTGATTGAGAATCTTGATTTTTGATCATGGATCATCACTCTCCTGTCTGTGTTGATCCTAAGGAGATCACACATGTTGCTCTCTTCAGATTTACAGTGAGCACATTCCTTGCATTCCCCTGTAAAGACTGGAAGGACATGATCACCCGGTGCAAGATCAGTCACTCCTTCCCCAACACTCTCCACAATCCTGCAAATCCACCAAAAACAACAAGATTCATATTTTCAATCCATAAAATTAGATAACCCATTTCATTTTAGGCTTCAAAAATTAACAAGAACAAACAACTTAAAAGATGGGGTTTTGGCCGAGGATTCATATTTCTTCAAAAATTCTTGGAAAGAAATCAACTTACCCTCCTGCCTCGTGGCCGAGGATTCGAGGAAAGATGGGGTTTTGGCCCTGCAAGATTGAAAAGAACCAATTTGGGTGTCACCGTGGTGGCTTGAATTTATTGAAATTAATGTGGAATTTTTAGGAATATTGAAGTCGCTATTTTAATAAGTTATTTTAATTAACTTATTTTAACTTTTTGTGAATTTTAGCCTAAAAGAGACTAAAATTTTTCTTTCCAAACGCCCATATAATGTGAAAATAAGTTACCTTGGCTTCCCAGAAGTAAACATCAGTGTGGCAGAGAGAGGTATAGAGGATCTTCACACGAACCTCCATCTTCTGCGGTGGCGCCACCTCCACTTCTTCTATCACCAGTGGCTTCCCTGCTTCCCATGCCACAGCAGCTGCCACCAAAAATTGAAGAAATACTTTGTTAACCAATCAATTTCATATATCCCACATGAAAAGAAGCAGAAACAATCTGCTTTTTCTTCTTCTTGTTTTTTAAAAAAAAAAAAATGGGAACACAAAATAAAAACTTGTTTGACGGACTATTTCCGAAAATTCGAGGAAAAAAAAAAATTTGATTCCAAAGACTGTAAAGCTCCACAATACAAAACTAAAACAAGTTGAATAATAGCAGAGCATAAGATCAATCAATAAGCAAGAGTCCCATAAAAAAAACACACTCCTTTATTATTTCTTTTTGCCGATCATAAAAAGGAGTCATGTTTGGACAACGTATTAGAGTTATTTACGAAAGAAAAAAAGAAAAGAAAAAAAAACCCAGAAAAGTGAACAAAAGCATTTTTATTTCTCTAAATAATTTTTTTGCCCTCAAATCTCTGCAGAGCCGAGCTCGGCTCAGCTCATGCTGGTTGGACGTCGGCGCTCCTACGAAGCTAACTCTCGAACCGTGGAGCCCAGTGAGGCAGCGAACAACTCGGCTTAGCCCTCACTTGACCGGTCCTTGTGCCGTGAAGCACCGCCTTGTCAGTGCCTAGCCTTGACCGAGCAACACTCTCTAGACAGGCCCAAAACTTCCACGGCCCAATGTGTTCAGCCCAAATCTGTCCGGCCGTTACCACTTGCCTATTTATAAATCTCCCTCTCATAAATCTCCCTCTCACTTATTTATACAATTTTTTAATACATATTTTTTCGTAAAAAGTAAAAAAGTTAACCCAAATATCCATCTTTTTTTCCTCAACTTTTTAGTCCAAAAAGACAAAAAGTGCACTTATTTAGGACACCCTAAACAACCCCTTAGTTTGGGATTTAAAAAGTCTCGTTTGTAATAAGTTTTTTGATTTTTTTTTACTTTTGTGAGAGAAAAAATGAAATGATTATGGGTTTGATGTGATATTTTGTCTGATTGGATTAAAAAAACTATTTTGTTTTTTTTTAACTAAAATAACCCAAAATCCAACCCAGCCGTTCTTCCTAAATGAGTGCTTGGTTTTCTTGTTGTAATCCTATTTTTCTATTTTTATTTTATTAATGTTGTGTTTGGTTGAGAGATTTAAAAATAGATTTAGAAAAAAAAATAGAAAAAATAGATAAAATGTGAATAAAATATACTTATATTGTAGGACAAGTTTGTATCACAATTGTTATTTATTTTTTTAGATACAAATGTGAGTGGGTGAAAAGGTAAACTATATTCGATTAATTTGATTTTTTATAATTATGTTCTACTTGATTTGTTTTAAAATGTGAATGGTTCAGATTATCGAAATGGGTCTTGAAATAGGCCTATTTAATTACACAACAGTGGCTGGTGTGCACTCTGCATGACAACCATCTTAAATCCCATTTTACCTAATTTTACACAACACTTTATTTTTTTATTTATAAATTTTTTCTTAAATCTCCCAACCGAATACAAATACAACATAAAATAATCAACACTTCCTATGAAAACAAAGTCATGTTGTTGAGACGCAATGAACTATGTTACTGGTCAATTAAAATGAGAAAAATATATATTAAAATATAGAGATACCAACTTGTCATACAATGCCTTCCCTTAGTTATAATAAGGAAATTTAGACACATCCGAACACCACAGAAAAATTGACAAAAGCTGACAAGTTCATGCTTTTCTACAAAATATTCTTTATCAGTTAATTAATTTTGCTCAAAATTTTTATTAGCAATATTGCATTTGCTTATGTCTGATAATCAGTGATTATCCAAGTGTCCTTTCTTTTTTGATAATCAAATAAATTTAACCTCTTGTATTTTTAGAATTTTTTTTAATAAGAGTGTTAATATTCATAGAATAATTTCAATTTTTATATGTATAATTCTAGATAAAATAATTGTATAAGAATTCTGTTTATTTAACTTTTTCAATTATATACTAATTTAGAGGATTGGATATGATGGAACTGTCATAAATATGGTTAGTTATTATGATTAATAAAAAAATTATTTAGTATTCTTGGGGTAAAGGCATATGGTGTCCACCATTTTTAATTTTTTTTTTTTTTATAAGACTTCTGCTGGACACACGCGATGTGTGTGCTAATTCAAAAAAAGTACTGAATTTTTTTTCTAATTAAAAAAATGACCATATAAGTTATTTATTCTCAACATCACAAACCCATTAACAAAATAGATAGCAAACACTTACAACTTTGATATAAACCAAGTAAAATAATAATTCTCGAACAATCAATACTTTTTTAAAAAATTACAAACCCAAGATTCTTACAACACTATAGTCAAGAGATTTGATACACACAAAAAAATAAACAATTACAGTGAAATAAATTTGACATAAACGAAGTATAGTAATAGTTAACTTTTTTCCCAATGAATTTAATAACATAATAAAAATTTTTATCTTCTTTTATTTTTTAATGAAAAAAAATAAAAAGTATAATTAATAGGGGATTTTTTGAAGGTCCATGGTATTGAGATTTTATAGCATAAAAGACATCTAATATTTTCATAATGTCTAAGGTCCCTCAACATTGATCTAAAGAAGATTCGATGTGAATTTCTCTAGACTTCCTACTCTCCAGAGAAATTCTGGACTTCCCAGAAAAATTCATAATTCAAGCCTTCATCATCTTCTTTCTCCAGAGAAATTTTAAGAAGTCTAGAGAAAATTCTCTCCAGAGAAATTCTGAACTTCCTAGAGAAATTCCTAACTGAAGCCTTCATCATCTTCTTTCTCCAGAGAAATTCTTGAAAGTCCAGAGAAATTCGTAACTCACGCCTTCATCATCTTCTTTCTCTAGAGAAATTTTAGGAAGTCTAGAGAAATTTCTCTTTAGAGAAATTCCTAACTCAAGCCTTCATCATCGTCTTTCTCCAGAGAAATTCTTGGAAGTCCAGAGAAATTCTTAACTCACGCCTTCATCATCTTCTTTCTCTAGAGAAATTTTAGGAAGTCTAGAGAAATTTCTCTTTAGAGAAATTCCTAACTCAAGCCTTCATCATCGTCTTTCTCCAGAGAAATTCTTGGAAGTCCAGAGAAATTCTTAACTCACGCCTTCATCATCTTCTTTCTCTAGAGAAATTTTGGAAAGTTCAGAGAAATTCTGGACTTCCTAGAGAAATTCGTAACTCAAGCCTTCATTATCTTCTTTCTCCAGAGAAATTTTGATATCTACCATACCACAGAACCTGGAAGAGTGAGAGTTACAGTCAGACTTAGACCAAGAAATGTAGAGGATCTTCTTTCATATGCTGATTTTGCTGATTGTGTTAAAATACAACCAGAGGTGATTGATTTATGCTGCTAATTTGTCATCAATCCAATTCCTCAACATTGATATGAATGAAAACATACTTGGTAGTTGATTGCAAGGATATACTTCTCATTATTAGTTTCTTCTCTCTTACTTGCATGTGCATGCTCATGCTCACATTTCAACAGTGACCAAGACCTTTAAATTAACATTTTTTTTTTGGTTCCCCTTTATGTAGCTCAATAGGTTAAAGTTGAAAAAAAAAATAAAAAAGAAAAATTGGAATTCGGAATCTTACAAATTTGACGAAGTATTTTTAGAGAGTCCTTCTCAAAGGCGTGTTTATGAAGTAGTAGCAAAACTTGTAGTTGAGGTAAGTGATAAAATAGCTCAATCATATGCTAGTTAAGAGATAGTTGTTTCCATATATGTATAGGTTTGTATCGAACATATTTACAATATCCATATGCCCTGTTTAATGTTGAAACTTTGTGATGTTGTGACTAGTGCTGAAAATCTTAATTCATATATGTACAGGTTTGTATCCATATGCCCTGTTTAATGTTGAAGCTTTGGAATTTCTCTAGACTTTCCTTTCTCTAGAGAAATTCCCAACTCAAGCCTTCATCATCTTCTTGAATTCAAACTAGAGCAACTCTCGAGAGAGAAATTCTTCCTAGAGAAATTCTCTCTAATTTCTCTAAATTTTCCACTCTCTAGAGAAATTCTGGACTCTCCAAAAAATTTCTCTCTAGAGAAATTCTGGGAATTTCTTCCTAGAGGAAGAACTTCAACATTAACAAGAGAAAGAACATCTAATATTTTTGTTAATTTTTTTATGTGAAATGTTCCAAAATTGTTAATTTTAAACTCCAACTTGGACAAAATTGTTAATTTTTGAAACTAGACTTTACAAATACAATTGAAAATCTATTTGTAAACAATTATGTTAACAAATTTGAAATCAAGACAAATACCCAAGTTCATGAACTAACAACTGCAGATCTAGATAAAATTAATTGAGCAAGAAGAAGTGGGTTTACTTAGTACCATTTAGAGAACAATGAAGATCAATTTTTCTTCTGACTTGGAGACTTTCGTCTCAAAACCCTCTGCTAAAGATTTCCCCCATTTCCTCCACCGTGGCGTACTGAGTCTTGGCAGCGAGACTCAGATGAGCTCCTTCTGCAACTTGTCGGGTTTTTTGAATCAAGAATTCCATTCTTGTAGATGAATCGACAGACTTGAGAGTGAGATTCAACAGGCCAACACTAATAAAGAATGCACAAGCGATTAGGAAGGCATAGATGAACAAGTTTCTCTGTGATATATAGGTATGGGGTTGAGGGACCTTAGACATCACAAAATAATATTGTGAATCTCTTCCATTATCAAAAATAGAAGAGGAACCTTAGACTAATTTTCTCTAATTAATATTAGTACACACAAAATACAAAAATACAGATCCAAAACTCTTAGAACACAATCAATTAGATTTATATAAAAATTAAAATAACAAAACCCCAAAAAACAAACCAAAAAAAACATTTTTTTTTTAAATTAAGAGCAATGAATTATTATTATTTTTTTAAAATAGGCAAAAAAAAATTTAAGTAAACAAACTAACCAAAAAAAAAAAAAACACAGAATTTATACACAAAAAACAAACAAAAGCATAAAAAAGTGAAACATGAACAAAAAATCTGAATACAAATTAAAAAAAAAAATTTAAGTGTAAAAATAAAAACACACACAAAATAGAAAAATATAAACTCAAGACTCTTATAATACTTATGGTCAAAGCGATATGATTTGCACAAAGAATAATAAAAGTGAAAGTGAAACAAATTTGATATAAATAAAGTAAAATAATAATTATTTTTTCCATCCAAAGAACTTGATAACCTAATCAAACTTTTTAATATCTTCTTTTATTTTTAAATGAAGAAAATAAAAAGTATAATTAACATTAATACACACAAAAT